TATATATATATATATAAATTCTTTCTATAAAACTTAAAATTTATTTCACATATTTTCAGGAAATATTAAAAACACGTTAAGGATGTTGATCTGTTATAAAAACTCAGCCAAATTCTATTAAACACCTCTAATGACGACAGACTGGCCGAAGCGGTAAAGATGTCAACCTGCTACTCTGAGAAAACAGGATTCTAGTCGTGTCAGGAACCTTAGGAATTTTTCATAAGCCTTGGATAATCAGGTTCTGTTCCTCACCATCCTGCCTCCATTGTGGACCTGGTCAAATTTACGATGACTCCGGATAAAATGCCCTCTTATTGTCCACAGAACGGAGTTAAAAAATGCGTAATAAAATCCCACGATAAATTCAGTTTTACCTCGAACGAAAGGAACGAAAACTCTTTTACATTCATTGTAAATCTTTTTAAAATGTCGTTTTCTGCTATTACTTAACAGAATATTAATAGAACATAAATCTGAAAACATATACCTTTTGAAAAAAATTACATTATATTTTATTAAGAATGTATATTCATAACTTAATTTGTTTATCTTAATGATAGCCAATAATATTTTTATAGACAAACTGAAAAGTCTTACTTGTACTATAAGGACAATATCCGGACCACAATTTTTGTGATCAAAAAGCCTGAAGAACTTTCCTTCCTTACCAACTTTTCCTGAATAAAGCTGCTAATATATTATTTAATACTTTCTATTAAAATGAATAATATAGTTTTTTAGTTTTCACTATGAAATAAATGTATTTTTTTTAATATTTCTGTTTTTCAAATGTAGTATTTGAAAATATTTTACAAAATTCGCCTAAATGAATAAATTTATTTAATAATTTTTTTTTATTTTACGAAATAAGACATTTCGATTTAAAATAATAAAGTAGATTAGGAATGAATCAAAATTTAATATGTATAAATAATTGGAGAAAGAAGTTTTGCATATTTTACATATGTACGAAATGACTGAATATTGCTATAAAAGCAAAAGCAAAACTTGATCATAAATTCTTTTTACTAGACAATACAGAGTAAGTCAGCAGTGAAGTCAGATTTACAGGCAATTATCAATTAAAAATATTCACTCCAATTGACAAAAGTAAGTTTTCGTAAAATATGATTAAATGATTAACGGAGTCATAAAAATTTATCGAATTTAAACATATTCTATTTTCTTCAATTCAGAAACTGCTCAACATGCAGAAATCAAAGCCTGTAAATATTAAATAAATTCTTTATAATAAAGAAAAATGGAAATATCAAAAATTATTTTAGTAACATGATCTTGGTAATTTTACTTGTGATTTGAATTTTAAATATACTCTAAACTGTTTGTATTTTAAACTTGTTCACAATAAAGAGAATTTGATACATTATAGAGATAGGACATTATAGCATAATGAAATATGTAAATAATAATAATTTAAATAAAGGAATGGAACTGGATGCTCGCTGGAATAAGATAGCGTGGCATAAAACGTCACCAGGAAGCGCTTGATGTAATTTCATTGATGAGGCCTTCAGTGAAGACGGATTTGGAGAACGTTTTAAAGGTTTAAATAAATTTACTTATTGTGAATTTTTAAAAGTCGTAGTGTTTTGTTCTCAAAGTTGGTAAAGCTTGAGTGCTTTAACTCGAAGAGGAAAGTTTATTATATTTAAAAACATTTTTATTTTATACTTTTTTATACAAAATAACCAACTTCAGTGAGAATTTTCGGGCCATCAGTGGCCAAGTGGTTCCGTTCCCTGAGCACTGGGAGTTCGGGCGTGGGTTCGACGCTTCGTCTAGACAGGTTGGCCATGTGGAGTTTTCTCGGTTTTCTCCACATCTGTAACACCTGAATAGGGGTCAATTACCCTTAAAAAGACCTCCCGAAAGGCATTCCTCTAGGCAGATCGCCTAATGTTGCGTTGCCATAACTTAACAAAACAAATAATGAAAATTTTTATAGAGCATTTTGTGCTGTATGCTGCGATGATATAACTAATGTGACTCCATTACACATTTAAATGTGCTATCTAAACTACAGATTTCTTCCCGAATCTATCGTCGATATAACACAAAATGTGTGAAAATTTAAATTTTGACGATACATTTAAGGATTTCGCTGAAATCAAAGCACAGAGAATAAATTTTATGATATACTGTAATTCGTTTTAATACTTTTTTAAATTTTTGTCTTTGCATTTTTTACAACTTTGTAGGTTAATATTTTAAATATATATAGTTTTATTATTGTATTTTATTATTTTTTGTATACGTGGATCAAGGAAATATCTTAACTTTAAATTTATTTATTAATATTTTTAAATAAAACTGTGACAAAAATTATAATGTAACTACATTTTTGAAGGGCCCGCATTTCATGATTGACCCGAGTCCCGCGGTTGTTAGAGGCGGCCTTGACTGCGAGTATGCGATAGACAGGCATTAATAGCGAGGTTGCGGTCGAAGTTTTTATCTCTCAAACGTGAACGCCGAACGTAGAGCGCCGCTATCTTGTAAGCGGCGCTCGACGTTCGACGTTCACGTTTGAGAGATAAAAACTTCGGCCGCAACCTGTCTATTATCATAAGCGTATAAACGCATACATGCGCAAGTCCTCACATGTATCTTGTTCATACGTCGGCATATACTGTACTGTACATATGGATATAGCAAATACGTGGTTTCGAAACATCGCAATGACAAAAGCCAACGCATTTAACTCGCAATATATATAACTGAATTTGTACGTCTGTTTTCAACTATATGATCTCTAAGAAAAAAGTGGTTCTATTGGTCGATAGCGCGTGTTTGAAAGAGCGAGCTAGCGTACGAGTCAACTCGACAGACTCGCACGTACCGTACATCTCACGAGAATCGAACGACACCCGGGCATAGTGACGTTTCTCGAAAGTGAGAACCGACCTTAACACCTAAATAGTTTGTTTGTTGTTCGTTTGTTAAGTTATGGCAACGCAACACTTGGGTGATCTGCCTAGGGGATGCCTTCCGGGAGGTCTTTTTAAAGGAAACTGGCCCCTATTTAGACGTTACAGACGTGGAGAAAACCCAAAAAACTCCATGTGGCCAGCCCGTCCGAGCGAGGCGCAAATCCACGACCGAACTCCCAGTGTTCAGGGTACGAAGACCGCTTGGCCACTGGTGGGCCAACACCTAAATAGGAACAAGTTTTTCATAGTCATCCCCGAGAGATACACACTCCTTGGCAGATTGGCCATATGTTGTGTTACGGTATTTACTTTTTATTTTTTAAACTCTTTCCTTCCTGTGTGCACTAAAAATGCTTCTTTTAGCAAGCACATTATGGGTTCGGGCAGGTCCACAATGGGTCTGCCGGGTGGTGAGGAACGGGGCTCGGCATATTCGGACTGACTACCCGCGAAAAAATCCTCAGGGTCTTTCAGAGCGATAGACTGATACCTTGACTATCCGGTCATCACGGATGGTGCTTAAAAGCCGGACATCTGGTCACTCTAATAATATCCTCTAAAAATTTGATAAAGGAAAAATTTATGAGAAGCTGTTCACTTACTGAATTAATCTTTTAACAAACTGACTATTTTACCAATTAATTCATTCAACGATTTTACTTTAAAAAAATTAAATCCATCATATTTTAATTTCTTAACTTGAACCATTAATCGATACGTTTAAATAATGTAATAAAATTTGTTATCATCAACAGTATTTTATTTTTAAATATTTAAAAATTTGATTAACAATTAAATTTTAGAGAGTCGTATTTCTTTCGTTTAATAAAATTTAATAAAGAACTTATGACGTAGACTCGTATTCGAGATGAAATACATTTTTTGTTATAGTATTTATTTTAATTTTTGTAGATGAATATATTTATTATTTATATACAAGGTTTTGTATTTATTTATTTGGTTAATTTTCGATGGAGAGTTTAGCCGTGAGATGGCGGGATGATATTGTCATGGTGTCTCACGTGGGTTGAAATGCCAATCTGTTCTAACAATATAAATGGAATTCGTTAAAGCTTCCAATTGCTTAGTTATTCTTATTATTGCTTATTTATTATATGATAACTGGACGCTAAAGCAAATAATTAGGGAGCGAAAGCAAAATATTTCTGAAGATGGAATATATTCATCAGTTTGGTGTCGTGGAAGTAATAATACCAATCGCAAATGTAGATTTAAAAATCTCTGTTATTGGCCAAGAAGTAAAGAATATATATTTTTTCATCATGAAAAATCGATTTTAAGTGGAGTGCCAAATAATCGATTTCCAGTTCTAGTCGATTTATCATCTGTTGATGACCACAATACTCAGTATTTCACGTTTGTAGATCTTCCTCATTCGGTATCTAATGATTTTAAAATTGAATTTATTAATAAGTCAACCTTAATATTTAATAGATTCAATCCGGACAATTTAATGCATGTTTTTCATGATGATTTATTACCTGTTTATGCAACATTAAACGAGATTTGCCACAAGATAGATGACTGTAAGGTTCAGTTGTTTTTTTCCGAAAACAGAGGTCCTGGACCATATTATGAGTTATACAAAATATTTAATGTTGCACCTTTAATCAGAGAACTGAAATTGGAAACATTATATTGTTTTAAAAATGCATGGTTAGGATTAAATAAAATGACAACTTGGTATGATTACGGCTTTAAAGTACCACAAGGACCTCTAATGGATAAGGACTGGACAATGATGTCAAGAATAATTAAACAGTTTTGTGAATATTTTATAAAGTCTTTTAATTTAAGTAATTGGAAAAGTAATAAAGAACAAACTGCAGTGTTAATAGTTAGAGAACAAAGCCGTCTAATTTTGAATGAATATGAAGTGATTGAAACTATTAAAGAGACTACAGGACTTTCTGTTCTTGTAGTAGGATTAGAAAAATATTCGGTACCGGAAATAGTAAATATTATTAGGCATTGTGTTTTAGTTATTGGAATGCATGGTGCATTGTTAGTTTTATCTATGTTTTTGCCACCTGGCTCTATTTTAATAGAATTATTTCCTTATGCAGTAAACTCAACACATTATACACCATATAAAACTTTAGTTTCTTTACCAGGAATGAATATTATATATCAGTCATGGCAAAATATGGAATTAAAAAATACAGTAACTCATCCAGATAATCCAGTACATCTTGGAGGAATAAATCATTTATCACCTGAACAGAAACAAGCTATACTATTTAACAAAGAAGTTCCACAACATCTTTGTTGTTATAATCCTGAATGGATGTTTAGAATATATCAAGATACTATTGTAAATGTATCTTCATTAAAGTATACATTAAAGTCGGCTTGGGATAACCGAAATTATGACTTAGAAAAGATTTTAGTAAAGAATTCTGAAAACATTGTGAAATTATTTTATCCTGGTCAAGTTCGCCATTCAAGATGCAATATAGTATCAACAGTAGATAATAAAAATGCAATTAAAATTACTTGGGAACCTCCTTGGAATTTGCAATATATACCTTATGCTTTAGTGCAATATGAAGTATGGATATTATTAAATGATACTGAAAATGTGACAGCTGTGATAATGAAAGAGACAAATTACATATTTGAGAATATTATAGATAATAGAGAATATCTTATTTGGATCCGATGCCATGCTGATAGTCAAGTTGGACCTTTTAATACTTATCCAATTAGTTGCAATACTTAGTTTGTAAAATGTAATAAATGAAACAATTTAAAGTCTTGCATAAATGTAATACTTGAGCTATTTGTTCACATTGTAAAATCTGCATTAATTGTGTATCTACTCTAAATGCTTTGTAATGGCAGCTGATGTCCTGTTTTAATCCTGCCTTTATTTTTTTAATATAAATGAATATTTTATTTATAAAATAAATATTTATTTTTTATTAATAAAATTCTTTAACCTCAAATGTCAAATTATTACTGTAAAACAATTGCAATAGAACAATAGAAGAAATGAAACTTTATTTATAATAATGAGTGCACTTCTTGTGAGAAATCTCTCATTTAGTAATATTTCATAAATTACATTTTTTGAAAACATGTAAAATAATTCTATTGGTTTTTGTTTATTATAAGATTTAATAACATTCAGTAACAAAATATTTTAATTCTAATTAGAATATTTTGTTTTTCTTAATTGTAATTGAATTATATAAATGTATGATTTACAATTCATATGATTTATATTACATCACAAAATAGTGACAATGTAGAATAAATACCCAGAAGATATGAGATAGCAGAAATTTTTCCATCAGTACTTCTTGTATAATTAGAAAATGAATCCAGTTTTATTCAAGCAATAAATCTTGATGCCTGATCCATAAAAGGCTAGAATCAAGTGTCATTTCAAATATTTGAGAGTAGGAGAAAATTTCGATTTTATCATAAAGACAGGATTCTATTCTATAAAATATACATAGGAATAAAATGAACAATCACAGTTTTATCAGAACTTGTGTTCAAATTATGATTGCCAATTCTGGATAGAATTTTGCTCTCTAAAGTGTTGGGAAATTTACCAACTTAAAGTAAAACAAAATTGTATAGCTCAAAGTATAAACACCAGATTGATTGTGACCTCTCAAACCTGTCCACAAGCAAAGATGAAAGAACATACCCTGTGGTACACCTGTCATATCCTTACTTGAGTAACATCTTCAATAAAATCTCAAACAGCAAACTAATTACACTTCAATTATGAGACATGAAATCAATCAAAAGAACTAACAGGAATAACTTCATGCTCAAGTGCAGCATACTTGATGGCTTCAAAATAGAGCCTAATAAGTTCTGTTTTGAAGCCATGTTAAGCTTAAAAGCATCTTTGCTATCATAGAAAATACAATTCCCTAAGTTGTTTTTCAGTTTGGAAAATTAAATTGTGCAAGGCAGTTTCACAAAACTGCAAGGAATGAAAAGGAAAATTCCTGAAACATTAAGACTATTGACAAGTTTCTCTAATTTAGTTTTTTATATTAAAGACATTAGACTGATTAATCATAATACTGTATATATATTCCTTAATGTTTTTTTTTCACAGAAAATGCTAAATTAAGCTGCAAAATTTTCAGCATAGTGCATCACTTCCTTTCTTCAGAGTCAATGATTTCAGATTAACATTCTGTTAAGCCTTTTCCTCTTTATCCTGTTTTCTTTTTTGTTTTTTATTTAGCTACAGAGCCGGCCCTACCATAGGGCTAACGGAGCAGCCGCTCCAGGCGCTAAGTCCTAGGGGGGCGCCTCAGTGTAAAGAAAATTAAAGGGTATAAATTAGGGGCAACCAAGGGGGGGGCGCCATAATAGGATCTCGCTCCATCCTAAAACTTGCCTCGGGACGGCACTGTTTGGCTACACCGAGTCTGAAAGAAAATACTCAAATATAGTAAGCAATTTTGCTTTAGATATAATTGTATAGATTGATGAAAAATCTCTCCCACTAGAGAATGATGATCATTTCATGACGGCAACTTATTTACAGTATTAAGCGCTTCAGCTTAATGTTAAAATTTCGTCATTATTACAGGACGTAATTTTCTCAATACTTTTAATGATGTTTATATATTTTTAATTATTTATGCATACGACACCATCATTATAAATGTAGGAGTTAATCTATTATCTATATGAAGTACTGTAAAGAAAATATCATCGACAACGTAAAACATGTTGATTATTGATGAGTAAAAGGTCACAGTGCTGAAAGAGTTGAGAAAAACGACTGCTAAATATCATTATCTCTCTAGACAACGTTGAATAGTACTATTCCAATGATGATTACCTGGTATTGTTATTTACTTTTATAATTAATTTTTCAAATTTTAATTTATTGCGTTTTGTTAATGCGATCTGCAAAATTCAGATTTACTATGCAAATATTGTCTCGACGAATTATTTCAAAGCTTTATATTTATGAAGCAAATTAAATTAAATTGAATTACACCATTATCTCTAGAATTTCTAAGCATTTAGAAAATCTAGAATTCTTTATTAAAACATATAGACTCTAGCCTAACGTTTTTTGAATAAATTACTGAATTAAAATTCGACATTTCTTTCTAATTAGATTTTATCCATTTATAACAATATTAAGCAACACAAGACAAATATAAATTTTAATTTTAGGGTTTTGATTACAAACGTGTTATATCAAAATTTTGTTTAGCTCATAAACCAAATTAATAACTTTGATACTATACTAATCTTGTCCAAATATCACTTGTCCAGAGCCACAGCAGATTCACATTTAACTCTTGTATTAACAAATTTTACTTTCAGCCTAAAATAATATTAAAGGAAATTTCGAATTACAATACATTGGTGACTCCTTTCTAGTAATACAGTACATGATTATACATGCCTCTAATTTATCCCCAGGCAATACTCTAATAATCTACAAATGAAATATGATGATTAGTGATTCAAAAAAGTTCAACCTCAATCTTCTAAAAAACATTTCTATGTAGTTTGGTGTTAAACAGTAATTATAAAGCATTCATACATTACACATATTCTTGAATATATACGAAATAAGTTCGACCCAAAAAACCCAAACAGCATCAAACAAAAACACATTGAGAATGTTTTTTTGGGTTGATATACTCGTAACTGCTTTTTTGTGTTGTTTGTTTATTAAAAAGGTTGTTTGTTGTCTTCAAGCCTTTAAATTGTATAAATATACTAGTATTTCTAACACATTTTTGGATAAGAATCTTAATGTGCACCAAAATGATAATCAAATGCATATCGGAAGATATAAAACGTTGATAATACATTATGAAAATAAAAATAAACTTGTAAGTTTTTAATAAATAGGCATTGATTATCATGTCATATGTAAATTAAATGATTTTTTGAAATAATATAGGGACGCTTCACGTTGTAAACACATGAGTCATACGGAAGAAAAAACCAGCGAACTTTTGGCGAATGAAAATTATTAGAAAGCATTTTATCAGTTTGAGTGTTTAGATACGGGGAAATACGAAATCGGTTAATCTACTGATTTATTAATAATGCACTTACGTCAAGTAAGCATAATAGTGATGTTGAAAAAATAAAAAAAATCATTGAAAATTTAACTGCACAATCCATTGTAGCAGAGTCGGTAGACTCTGATTGTAGTAACTAATTCACGGTCGTTTTTCGTTTTTGCAGTTTATTCCTGATTTCGAAAAATGGATAAAGTTTCAAAACAAATAATAATAATATTAAACATTGCTATTAAAATTATTTCAGCAATCCAAATAGTGTTGTTTTTACCAAACTTACCTTCGTTGTGATAAGTTTCGGAAAAACAGCCCTATTATTACACAGTCTTTTTAAATGCGGTTAATAAAGTAACAATAGTCGAAAAACTGAATATATTCAAGTATTATTATTTATTACTGATACTCCATCTTTGCACTTAATACATTTCATCTGACTTTATGCATTTCCAGGACTCTAAGACAAATAAAAATGAGTAAAAAATCATGCCTTGTTTTTCTAACTTGTTACTCAATAAAATTGATTATCTAAATATTTTTCCTTGCTTAAAACAATTATAATTCGATTTTAAACGTATGGCACGTCTTAGAATTGATGAAATGCGGTAATTTGTTTGAATTAAGTTAGTATTTTCCAAAGTACGGGAACGGATTCACCTAACGAAGCGTATTAACCCAAGGACGTAGTATATAGTCCTTGGTATTAACCACTCGGCATTCGGCCGAGGTATTTTCCTTGTTGAAATAATAATTTGATACGAATCCAAACAAGATGCTAAATGAAGAAACTACATTTAATACATTATACATTTTAGTTTTCAATTTTTAATAATAATAATAAACTTTTTTCTGAAATTTGGCTCCGTTTTTCGTGTAGTATAATTGTGAGGATGCACAGTTGGCAACCTTCTTCTTTATACATGATCATGTGACAGTGTTGTTGTCTGCTACTAGTGATGAATTACGCTTACTTACCTGCAGAAGTATGTGGAATTTATAATTAAAAAACAAAATTAGTTATTTTTTCCATCTATTATTTATGTTAATTTTACGTTATTGACGTTATAAATATTTGTTATTTATATAATTGTAATTGCTTTTAATATATTTTGCATTTATCTAGTTTATAAATTTAGAAAGCTTCAATAACAAAAAGTGAATATAACAAAGATTTAGATATTTATTAATTTTAATTGTAAAGAGTGTATCATTGCAGAAGCATTTCTTATATAATTGATATCCAATTACTGAAATTTTATATATAATTTTAGTGATTAAATGACAATGTGGACATTTTAATTATTAATTGCATTAAATTTGTTACTGTCTTTATGTGTTATAGTAGAATATGAATGTATTGTGGGCCAAGTAAAATCGGTCTCTCTCACTGGAAACAATACAAATGAATTTAGGTTAAGGACACTCGTTAGAAACTATTTTAACATTATTTTAAACGTATGAGGGGGACCCAAAAAACCGGATTTTTTGTATAAAAACTTTATTTATTAACTTTTTTACAAAATTTCTTCAGTTATCTTCAAAGTACTCTCCATTAGATGCAATGCACTTGTGAAGTCTTTTTCACCACTGTTTGAAGCATCTCTGGAACTCTTCAACCTTGATATCGTCCAGTGCCCTTAGCGAAGCTGTTTTACCGCCTCCACATCATCAAACTGCTTCCCTTTTAGATTTTTCTTCATTCTCGGAAACAGAAAAATGTCGCACGGGACTAGGTCTGGTGAATATGGAGGATGGGAAACGACAGGACATCCCAAGAAGCCAAACAGTGGGTCACTCGTAAGGCCGTGTGTGTGGGGGCGTTGTCGTGATGAAGGAGCCAGTCACCTGATCACCAAAGTTCTGGGCGTTTCCTTTGCACATCCTCTCGCAGACGTCTTAACACTTTTTTGGTGGGTTTTTTTCAACGTTTTCATTTCGAGATGTTGAAGGACGCCCGGAACTTCGCAAACGGAACAAAATAACAGTAAGAGAAACACAACACTATGTTCAAACGTAAACCTACAAACTGACGCTGTTTGCACAGCTGTTTCATGAAGGTCTCTACTAACTACATGTAATGGGAGAACTCTCTACTACGTCTACAAATGGCAGAGCACTCTCAGTTTGGTTTTTTTTGGGTTTTCCCTCGTATACAGATGCTGAAATTGATGTTCTTATGCATCTATGCTCCTCTGTGTAATCATGTTTAGACTGATCTTATGTAATTATGTCAATAGCTTCAATGCTTTGTAAAAGTTTTCCTTCACTTTGCATATACAGTAGTACTGGAATTGATCTTGTACACTTTTCCTTTTAAATATCCACTATAAAATTTACATCGCTAATGTTTTACCATCTCAGTGAGGCCAATTTTAAATGGAACACCCTTAATGTATTATTCCCATTGCTTTTTTTTTTATTTTTTTTTATTTTTGTGTAAAACAATTTGATTATTAAAACAAACTGATTGTTATTGGTATGTTTTACTGGTTTAAGATATATTTGAATTGTATGATTCAGAGAAGAAATCTGATCATTACTATAATGCTATATCCAATGTTTAATAGTAATAGATGTCCAAAATTAAACACTTCAAAGCAGTTATATATTCAACTATTCAAGACTGTGTATATGTTAATAAACACTGCACATACAACCAATATCCAGCAAGAAGAAACTACAGGAAAGCAAACCTTTGCCTCTGACACAACATAGATGTATATTTTGACTGAGCATTCCTCCTATGTAGCACCTCCCACAAAGAATGGCTTAGAAATTTACAAAGCTATGAGAAAAAAATCAGTTTCAGTTTTAAAGATACAGACTCTTTCCCCACATGGAAGTCAATCTATGACCTTTAATCTTACAACCTCCCCTTCCCTCTCTCTCTTTCTCTCTCCTCTTTTAACATGTGGACAGCAATCACCTATTCCTAGTAATTTTTCTTTCATACTGTTTGTTTTAACAGCTGAATTCAAACTGCAAAGATCAGCCAGATCAGTGTTAAAGGGATTCAAATGTAACATCTGTCTCTTGCTTAGTTGACATCATTGTATTTGATTCAATATTTTCCTCAATGGTGAAGAACTTATAAATTGTATTGAAGTGCTTCTGATGAGTAAGTTTTCAATTTAAACACATGATACTGCCTTTTGGGTCTTAGAGTATGAAGAGTTTTGGCCACATCATTGATAGAGATGGAGCCTGATCTCATCTTGACAAACTAAGAGCAGCTAACTTAAACCAACAAACTTACAAATGAGAAGCTTCCTGGGATTCTGTCCATATTATCATCACTTTATAGAAAGTTTTGTTGCTATTGTTTAATCATTAGCTTCACTCCAAACCAAGACAGAAAGCTTCACATGAACTCCTAACAAAAATCTTCAATAAATTAAACACTGCTGACTTTTGAAATGCCTAAGTTTTTATTGTAAAGCAGATTGATACACAATGTTTTTAGTTTTTGAGTAAGCAATATAATTTTGTTAAACACTATTTGTTATTCTAAAGGAAACAATGGTTAATGAACTTTCTTGAAAACTCCCTGAAGATGTATGCAAGCTGGTGCTGAAAATTAACATGCAAGATTACTTACAGAATGATTTATCTGCCAGTTGTTTTGCTTAACAACTGCTATCTTAATGATGGAAAAATATCAATCAATTTGAAAAACAAACTTATTGTGTGGTATTATTAAATTTTTAATTGTAATTCTTTTTGTAATGTAAAGTAACCCTCAAAAACTTCTAGGTACAATGCACATCTTTTACTAGCTCTTAGTAATATTTAGTAGTGCTCTAATATTTCATTGGTTAGATATGTAAGCCATCCTGTTGTAGACTGAAAATTGATTTTTTTTTTTTCTGACAGAAAGTGGTTGTCGACCTTGATGAGAGAATGGCTTTTGAAAAGTTTGGTTGTATTTTATTTGCTTATATATTCTTGAAATGTGTAAAGAACAGACAAACTTTATTTTTTAAGTACTTTATGTTAACAGGATGTCAGTTGATATATACAGCAATGGGTAAGATTCAAGCTTTGAAGGAGGGGTTTTGCACCTCCAGAATTGTTGACCCCGCTATACAAGTAAAAAAGTCAAAGAAACCTTACCTGTAAATGTGACCCTTAACACGGTATTCACCTCTAAAGGTCAGTTTTTAACATGTATCAGTATACTGCCTCCATGTTATGCATGTAGTCATGCATTTTGGTGCTTGCTATCACTCACACCTCAGCACCTGGGTGGGGACATGCTCCCACATTCTCCTAAAATTATACATCATTAAGTGTTCCACAAACAGTTAAGTGGGCTACTCAAAGGCAGCAGAGTCATGTGGGCTAAATAGTTGAACACAGTCATAGCAGAGCGACACGACAACGGTATCAAGCTTCAGATTAAAGTTACAACTGGCATCCTATTAACAGAAAAGTACTTTTTATATATACAGTGGGTGATCGGTTAACGAACGTAATCCATTCCAAGACTTTGTTCACTATCTGAATTGTTCATTAACTGATTATCAATTTACCATAAGTTTTTATGGGAATTTGATTAATTCATTCTGGACACTCCAAAAATTAAAAAATACATACTTTCTTACTATGTTTATTTATATGTAATAATAAAAATACATATATACAGTCTTGCATTTTTATTAGTCATGTTTTTTCCATTTGTGGGGTTAAGCAATCTGTCTAATGTCGATTGCTTTTCTCTTCTTTAGGATTTTTCAGAAGTAATAGCATTGTTGTTGTAGAGATTCCTAAGCCTGTTAACTTCAACCTGGTTTGGATGCCGTTCTGACCGTTGTTCTGACATCCTCCCACTTCTTCAAAAGATATTTAATAGCAGATATCGGCATTAATCCTCTTTATCAGAAGAAAATGTCTTGCTGAGTTTCTTGGTGTTATTCATTCAAGAGTTCTTGGCATTCTTCTGTCATCAGATCCATTTCAAATGTTGTCAGGCATTCTGTTATGAGCTCTTCAATGTTCTTTATTTGTCAGATGTGATTTTTGTTACCCCTTTAGCTGCTTGAGTTTTCTCGATTATACTGTATCTTTCTTAGATAAGATTGACCTGCGGCTACTGTAGACCTGTTCACGCCATACTGCCCAGCAATATCAGACATCTTGTGCTCCACTTGCTATTATACTCGCACTTTTTGAAAATAAAAACTGACGCAAAACTTAACAAGTGCTCGCCTGACAGTCTTGCGAATACTATAAAAGAATTGTTTCTGTCAGAAAAATAAAAGGCTGGAATTACAAGGGAGAATTTCAAAGTTCGGAGGAATACTATATGATCAGTATATACCGGGTTGAGCGTCAATGTCGACATCTCACACGCTCTAAAAAGTTCCTAATTGTTGACTGAAGATAAGGGAAGACCAATTGTTAGTCATTATTTTACATCACTTCTTGTGTTTGTTCTGTGAGGTGTTTGTTGTCCGAACATAAAAATCTTTTGCGAAAGTGTTCGTTAACCGATCACCCATTATATATGTACTGTATTATATTAGAATGACAATTATTGCATTATGTGTCTTAACTATCAAAGTTCTCTGAAATGATATCAATATACTGCATATATACTGAGGATAATACAGTTTTCAAGAAAAGATTCAAATAGAAGTGTATAATATTATCAAGTAATGCATTTTGTCGGTGACAGACAAAAGATTTTTCACATTTTCTGAAGATATTCTTGATGACTAGATAAAGGAAACACTGTTTAGTGAAGCTTGTATTGCACTTTAAAATTGATAAGTAACACACTCCATTGAATAATCTTCACCCCTTTTAAATAATTTTTTTAACATAAATATCTAAATGTTATTAACACAAAATTATGGTATTTGAATTATTATATACAAACTATTGTATATGAAGATCATTATATTTATTTTTGTTTAATAAAAAATGGTGAAACAAACCATTATCCAGCATAAAAATGTAAGACAGTTAACATTTTCTGTTT